GTCATGTTGATTTCTCGGGTGCCTAGCACAAGGTTCCCATCCTTGGTAGCGCGTAGCAAGGGGGCATTACTCCCTTGCTCATCCGATTTCAAGTCCTCTCTTCGGCTGAGCGCGTCTGCTCTTCCGTTTTCGGATCCTTTACGGTATATGATCTCGAAGTCATAATCCGTGAGGGTTTCATACCATCTGATCTGTCGTTTGTTCAGATCCTTTGTGGTCAAGAACGATGTGAGATTCTTGTGGTCAGTATAGACCTTGATTTGATGCTTTGCTCCTATGAGATAGTGTCTCCATTCTTTGAAGCACTCAATGATAGCCATGAGTTCTTTGTCGTGGATCCCATAATTGAGTTCGGGTCCGTGGAGTTTCTTCGAGAAGAATGCAACTGGGTGCAATCTTCCTTGATCATCTCGTTGTCCAAGCTGTCCGCCTAGTGCAAAGTCTGAGGCGTCCGTTTCAAGCTCATAAGGTTTGTCCTGATCAGGTGCTTTCAACACAGGTTCTGACGTAACTAAATCTTTCATTTTCTGGAATGCCGTGGCTTCTGGTTCGTTCCATTGGAAGCCGACTTCTTTCTTTGTTAGGTTTGTGAGAGGTCGTGAAATGTCTCCATATCCGCTCAAGAACTTGCGGTAGAAGTTCACGAATGCTGTGAATCCTCTGACTTCTTTTAGATTCTTTGGTGTAGGCCATTCCTTGATGGTTTTGATCTTATCCGGGCTCATTCGTATTTCTCCGTGTGTGAGCACGTACCCTAGAAAGTGCACAGTGTTCTGGTGGAACTGGCATTTCGAGGCTTCGACTAAGAGTTTGTTGTCCTGTAGAGTTTGTAGTACCTCATGTACATGTCGTTTGTGTTCCTCAAGGGTATCTGAGTAGATGAGGATATCGTCGAGGTATACAACCACAAACACTCCTAGTTGTTTCCGTAAGATCGTATCGATCATTCTTTGAAAGGTTGCTGGTGCGTTGGTAAGCCCGAAAGGCATCACTAAATATTCGTAGTGTCCTCTGCTGGTTCGGAATGCTGTCATCCACTCGTGGCCTTCTTTCATCCGTATAAGGTTATAGGCTCCTTTTAAGTCTAGTGTGGTGAACCATTTGGCTTTTCCAACTTTGTCTCTGATTTCCGTCATAAGCGGTAACGGGTATCGATTCTTGATTGTGATCTTATTCAAGTGTCGGTAATCGATGCATGGTCGTAGTTTCCCGTTCTTCTTTGGTACCCACAGGATTGGGTATCCTGCTGGGGACTCTGATGGTCGTATGTATCCCTTTTGTAGCATGTCCTCCAGATACTCCTTGAGCGCCTTGTCTTGCTCAGGGTTCTGAGGATAAATTTTGTTGAACGTTGGTTCAGTACCGGGCTGGAGTCTGATCTCGTGGTCCCAGCGTGAATGCTCCGGTAGTCCTGTTTCTAGCTCTCCGCTGAACAGCTTGCTGTACTTTGAGTATTCCTTGGGAATCTCCGTTGTCTCAGCTTTTGGCTCTCTGGCGATCACATATATTCCTAGAGGCCTGTCGTAGTTCGAATGAGGTGCCCTTCGTAGGCCGCTCTCTGCTTCGTAACCGCATCCTGGTAAATCCCATTGAAGTTGGCCGGTTCTCCAATTGACTCGTGGATTGCTCGCTCGCAACCAGGGTATCCCTAATATAACATCGTGTTTTGAGATCACTGTGATATCTAGTGTAACTCGGTGTTTCGTGCCTTGTATGTCGACGAGAAGCTGCGCGATCTCCATGTCGACTACTCCGTGGCTATACTTTACCGTAGTTCTCATTTCATGATAATATGTATATTTGGCAGCACACATGCCATTGAAACAGAAATGCCGTGATTTGTACAAACTCTTGCGTTTTGTTTGGCTTCCAAGTTGGTCGTGAAAGCACTTGAACACGCTTACTTGGTTGCGGCGCCAACCAAAGCCCCATACTTGAGCGAGTCAAAGTAGCAGCATACTGAGCCTTTGCGGGCGAACAAGTAACAATGATGGCCGAGGGCGCCTGGCCGGCAGTCAGAAACTGCTCGCGCAACGCCATGGTCAGAGGCGACGACCGGAACGGGATGCGGGCCTGCTTAGCCGACCACGCGCGGATCACCTCCTTCAGCGCCAGGAGATCCGTGTTGATCTGACGGCCCTCCTGCTTCTCCTGCGGGGACTGCTTCACGCCCGCCGGCGAGGTCGACGAAGACGAGGCTGCCGCCGAGACCAGCGGTATCCTCATACACGGCGGCGACGTGCTGCTCCGCCGCCTCGACGCGGGCCTCGAACTCGGCCTGCTCGGCGAGGGCGGCGACGATGCGCGCCTGATCGACGGCGTACTCGGGGTTAGGCGCCCATTTACCATCCGCGGCGCGAATATACGCCCTCGACTGCTCCTCGATGCTGATGCCCGTGGCGCGCTTCCCAACGGGCACCAGCTCCGACTGGCGGTCGAGGAGCGCCTCCCGCGCCGCGACAAGATTCTGCTTGACGACTTCCAGCCTCAGCACGGCGTGCGTTCGCGAGTTCTGGTCATGGACGGTGGACGAGCCCACGGCGCGTCTCGCAAGGCCCCGTTGCAGCTCGTCGCAGAACGACTCGTACGTCCGGCAGGCTCGTTGGAGAAGCGGCCGCCCGCGCACTCTGGAGCCGTCGAGGGTCTCGGTCCGCGCCCGGATGTGCGTCTTGCCGTCGGGCCCCTGGCGGACGTGGCATTCCGCGCCGCCGTTGAGAAGGTCGAAGGCCGACTTGCCGCGGAGCTCCAGGGGGCTGAGGCCGATGGCGAGCGGCTGCGGCGAGACTCAGGCCGACGCCGCTGGGGGTTTGTTGGTAGCCCATGACGGTGTGCGTCTTGCCGCTGCCCGAGTGGCCGTAGGCAAAGAAGCTCGCGCTCTCGCCCTGCAGGACCCTGGCGATGCCGGGCTGCACCACCCGGGTGTACACGGCCGTGTTGTCGTCCTGGGCGTCGAGCACGGCGGTGAAGGCCGCGGGGCTTTCCCAGGTGCGGTCATCGGGCGAAGATGCTCGATGGATGGATACTGAGAGCAACGGTGAGTTGTGGGAGGTTGTGTAGTTGATGGCGCCTTGGGCTTCTTCGGCATCGGCCAGTGGTCGCCAGCGCGCAAAGACATTCATGATCACCAACTTATCAATAGGGTAATTGGGGTAAATGGCTTCCCAGAGTTGCCTATCGTACTTGTTACGTAATGTGAGTTACTTCAAGTGTGGGCAAGTTTGATCCGTGGCGTGGTTTTCTTATATCGTGCCTTGACAACGCGGCTGCCTGAACTGTTCCCCCTGACGACCGTTCATGGTGGACGAGTGGCTAGGCAGACCAGTTTTTTATGCAAGAGTTTGGGGCATCTTGGCACTTTAATGAGAGCTCAATGTTGCGAACTATTGACATGTATGGTGTGATGACTACAACTCTGGACTGGTGTTGTACTAGGCATCCATAATAACAAGGTTGCCAACTTAACTTGTATACGGAGATGGAGACGCTAAATGTTATCATTAAGCAAAGCTGTGTGAATGGTAGTAGTGGTAAGAAGTATCCGCATATTGAGGTTGTTCTGGCTCTTTTGATATTTGATGTTTGACAAGGTAAAATATATTAATGTTGTATCTGAGAGGACCTCGTGCTGACCAGACCAATTGAGAGAGGTACTGACAAGTTGCACATCCAATTTGTCTTGAATACAACTACATGCGTATACCACGCCGCTGCTTGGTAGTTGTGTAGTTTTGGCAATCCTTGTCTCCTGCCCAAGGCAACAGCTTTTACGGCAGCATCTGTTCCGGATGAGACTTTTTGGATTCCGAATGGCGGCTTGCTGCTAGGAGGAGCCCGCAGCCCTTTTATGTCTAAAACATGCGCGACCGGTCTGCCATAAATAGAACAACCGCCCAGATGATGTGTAGTTTGTAATTTGCTCGATATGAATAAGAGCCAAGACTGGCTGCCTGAAGACATTGGTAAAAACTGCAAAGAGAGGACAACATCCCTCTAGATGGAGTGTTAAAGGGCCGGTGATTATTGATATTTCATTCAACATCACCCGTGTGCCCGTGTTCAATACAAAAGATAGACGCATCAAAAGCAAAAACGAAAGATACAAGAGGACCAGCTTCATTTTATTCCGAGAAGAACAACTTGTCGAGCAACTGGCTTGAAAGCATACTGCACGGCTGGTTAGGGATCCATTCATGCTCATGTGTATAACCAATGGGCCCGCCAACCCTTTTTGAAATAAGATTTTGATATCTTGGCTTCTTTTCCTGAGACATTTTACCCAAAGCCTTTTGTTAACCAGGACTTTTTCCTCAGACGAATAGATGGTTAGTCGGTCTACTAGGTCCCAACCCACCAAGGATAACCCGGAACATGGTTAGAAACCAAAAGGAATAAAAAAAATATGCATCTACACGTGTCGTTTTTCTTCTTCTTCTTGTTCCTGCTCATTCTTTCCTTTCCTTTTCTTTCTTTTTTTTCCTTTTTCTTTTCCGGTGCGCTCATGTCAAGTCGGGTAGAAGCAAACGTAGCTGGGAAATTGGCGGTGAGATATGTGCCGAGGCTATCTAGTCTATTTATATCGCCGCCATGCCGGTCTTGACGCGTTTGTCAATGAATGTCCTGCCGTCTCCTTTCCACGGTCGGCAACAGAGCCTGGCATCGGCCGACTACGGACACAAGACATGCCATTTGACGCACAGGGCCCAGCCTGTATTTTCGGTACATATCCTAGCCTAGCTGTGCTTGTATCTTATAGCACCGAGCCATTATTTCTTCCCGTCTGAATCATGTATGTTCCACTGCAGCATTCAACCGTTGACAGTTTAGTAGTCCGACAGCATCCGCACTGTCCAAGTGCAGCTGGGGTTTGTTCATTTGACCGGCAAAAATGTTGCGATTGCTACCGGAATGTTCATTCCAGATGCAATTAATCTACACTACAAGTTTTCTAATTAGTTGGTTTATTTTCTATTCATTCTTGGGCCTGAATGATTCGATCGTGTTGGCAGAAACTGGGGCCTGGTGGAGCCAACAACTCACAATCCATGGTCAAGGGTCGTTACCTATTATTACGTCTTGGCCGGGAACTGTCCGTCCAGTGTCCTCTTTTCTGTAAACACGAATCATTGCTGGCTCGAGTATTAGCTAAGCATCGCGCGATCGCCATGCATTCATCTATCATCGGGTCAAATGGTTCATCCCACATCCAGTCCCGAGGCAAGACCCAGCAATAACAGCCCCTGAAGCAGGCCAATATAACTACATATGTAAAGACGCAAGAGCTTCCTCCGTCCTAGTACCTATAACACATTCTTTTGCGGCTCCGAATCTTTCAGCGCCTATGCCCTGCCGACATATAGAAAGACTTACTTGTGGTATAGGCTTACGTGGAACATGCTTCATTGTAAGGTTCTACCTGCGGAAAAGCTGTCCAAGCAGCACAACCCTTTCCATGTCATGCGAAGTGCTTGTTGTACGGCGTGTTTAGAAGTTATTTCCGCCCTCAAACGTATCGTGTTTTGTATTTCAAAGTGGTGCGAATCGAGGTAGCTCATAATGTAGGACGTTCTGCTTGATTCCTCGAATACGGACGATTGGACATTTACCATACTGTACAAACCGTGGCTAACAACTGAAGACAACGTACAGAGCTAGTCAAGGCAAAGGTCAGGGTGGAGTATTTTTGAGGAAACTAGTCATACCGCAGTTCACATCACCGTGTTGGCGATTCTGATGCAACGCTTCCTTTATGGACCCCTGGTTGACTGTGGCTCCTATCGTCTGTCTGTCTTGTTCCTCCGCGCTTTTAGTGCCTATCGTTGGAAAATTCACAACATCCATAGCGTCTGCTGTGTTAAGTATGAAGCTAAGCCTCAAAGTAAGGCCATGGTGTGACGTAATCCTTGTTCCCTTAATTCCCTAGCATATGGTACAACATCACGACAATACAGCACCGGCAGCTTATCCAACCACCTCCACTCTTTAGCCCTCACAATTTCAAAATCGGTGCGTTTTCTATCAAGGTACGGCAAGAAATTATGATCTGTCAATAGGCATCGCGGCAGCGGTTGACTCGCCATGGTCAGATTTCAGAAACCCTTGTTTCTTGGGAACCGCCGCGCACCTGTCGACTATAAGAGAGGTGCATCCGCCATGAATAAACAAATCTCCTCCATCAGAGACCTCAAACAGCAGCTCTATCGAGTTTCCCTTTCTTGTCAACTCTCCAATACTCGAAGGCTGCACCTCTTTTTACAATGTACTGCCTCGGCAAAGCGGCAGTCATGGCCCTTGGCCTTGTGGCCTCCAGCCGTGCCCTGGAAGCCGTCATTCTAGCAGACACAAATAGAGACGGAAAGCTCGATATCAAGTCAGATGCTGAAGGAAAACGAACCTGGACCGAGGACCGCGGAGCTCTATTCATGGCTAATATTGCGGATACAGACCGTCGATGTTCCGAGACAATCAAGGATGACACTCCGTTCCCGGAGCTCGATAAGTGCAATGACGCTTCCGATAATATTCTCAGAAACTCCAAGTTCTTGGCTCCTCTCCAGACACTCCCAAACTCTGGTCTGACCGACGCAGCTCAAGGTCTGGTTACCGTTTCTGGTGAATTCGCGAATGAAAAAGTTCGAATCTTCCACAAGATCGGCAATGACTGGGCCTATGTTGAAGATAGCCGAGTATTCAAGGCCGCTGAGCTGCGGGCCGGTTTGGAGCTCGGCATGGACGCCCGGGATGTGCGTCGACCCAACGAATGGGATGGCAGGGTCAAAGTTTACTTCAACCTGACGGATAACGGCGAGTCTGCTGCCGACTACGTGGAACTCCGTGTTGCCCCCGTCTTGATACACCACCATCTGCAAGAGCTGACAGAGGTCTACGTTGCTTCCCTCGACAGAGAGTCCGTCGGCACGAAACAGTTCTCCGATTTTGTGGAGAAATACACGGCCGAAGCTGGCATCAAGGCGCCCGTGGTCAAGTTCAAGTCGGTGGCCGATCGTTGGGCGCAGGACATCTTTGAGACTGGGTATACCAGTATTCCCGGGCCCGACGGTCCTGTCGTTCTTCGTATCATGGTCAGAAGCAGCCAAGTAGCGGGTGATTGGAACCGCCAGAAGAGCGGTCGAAAGGTCTTCTCCCAGCTGAGATCCGCAGAAGTTGGAGCCGTCCAACATCTCCCCCCTATTAAAAAGGACCGTCCATGGGGCATCGACTCGCTGGGCAACCTGGAGACTGTCCCTCCTCACAGCCACAACGGCAAAAACTACCCGAATGGACGAGCTGTCATGGGCAGCCAGAACAAGCAGAAGCCGCACTTGGTTGCGTTTCTCGAGGCCCAGGAAGCCCAACCCCCTATTGAGCTGGACACCTCGTTTCTCAAAGTTGGTCACGTCGACGAATTCATGCAGTTCTTGCCTGCTAACAACGCTCGCGGCTGGGTCATGGTTGTGGATGACCCCAAGGCTGCCTTGGATATGTTCAGGAAGGCTCAGCAAGACGGCTTCGGCAAGACCCCAGCCATGTCCCGTCCTCACATGTCTTATGATACCGAGTTCTTGACTGGCGATTACATGTACAGCTGCCTGCCCAGCGATTCCATCGACGACCTGCTTCGCATTTGGAACTTTGAGCCAAAGAATATGCATGCCGCCGAGCAAATCCAGCTCAACATCGATATAATGAAGAGGGAAACTGGCATCACAGATGAGGACATTGTCCGCATTCCTGCACTCTATTTCAGGTACGACGGAGGATGGAACTGCCGCAGGAAGAAGTACTGGAGTCCCAGCAGCAAGAGGAGTGAGCTCGACGGCGAGCCTGAGGTGGTGCCGCCGTTTGAGCCTGAGGTGATGCCGGCGTTTGGATCCGAAGAGGTGGATTCCCAGCTGGGTCGCCGTGCTGTCGACAATCAGCTGGTTGCTTTCCATCCTGCCGTCATCAACGGCGTCGTGTACAACAACGGCAAGTATCTCGCTCCCAACCCATGGGGGCCCGTCATCAATGGATCCGATATCCTCGCGGCTGCTTCTAATGAGCAGTATGGCAAGCTTGGTTTCGAGGTCACGTATATGGATGATTGGTTCGACCACCACAAACACGCGGGCGAGACGCACTGCGGCACCAATGTTGCTCGTGACGCCTCCAAAAAGTGGTGGTAGGGCCGCTTTCCAGTCGTCTCTGGCCAGATGTTTGGACAGACACGGAATATACAGGGACGTGACCGAGCGGTGTCTGCGCAGGAATCGATGCAACTTGCGACTTACAACTGTTACAAACTTGCCTTTATGCGCTTTCCCTGTGTTCTTGTATTATAGTTCAGGGGTCAATATACATTCGTACACACCCAGTCAACATATTTCTCTTGCACATGTGTCCTTGTTTGTTCAGTTCTATTGGCTCGTGAGTGTGCAGTGGCCATGGTGTGTGTGACTTCGAGTTCGAGTACCGTGGTTTGCCTCGTGGAAGTTTCTGAGATGTTGCCTGAGCTGTTGTCAAGTATTTCCAAGTGGAATACTGCTGATTGAATCGACATCTCGCAATTATCTCATATATACTACGCCTCCTACGATTTGAATTTATATGCTGATTCAATATTGGTGTTGGACGATATGTACCGCCTTCATTCATCTTGGGCAGGTGACGCGGCAGGGTTAATTTGTCCACGGAGCTTGGCCAGCCGGTAGATAATTCAACTTAACTGCCAGCGTATCCATCTAATTGTTTCACGGCTTTAGGCTCATTGTGATTAGGATGGCTGCTATTCTGGAGACATGAGGATATAGTGGATGAATGGCCCCCCCATCGTTTGGCTCGACCAAGCAAATGGTCGGCCGCAGTTCATTTAAGCCAACTTGGCGGCATCGCCGTAAATTATGCCTTTGCCTTTGCCTTTAGTTTTATTTGGCTTGCGTCTGAAATCTTCTCATGCGATTTACGTGCTTCCATCCGTGATAGTCACCTGGAGAGGCTGACTCGCTCCTCGCCTCGGGAACCAAGAACACGCCTCCATCATCGAGGTATTGTCGAGTCTCAAGACCCAGTGGGATCGCGAGGCACATAGAAGTGGAGCTATGGATTCGACATTCTCAAGCAAATGCTGAAAATTACAAGGGACAGAACAACAAGATGAACAGCGTCGCGTGCATTGTCTTTGGGTTGCCGACATGTTTTGTTATATTTAATTTATGTTCCTTGCCCAGGGATTCCGTAGGGGAGATGTCCACGTTAGTATACAGGCGAATGTCATTGAATTGTGAAGAGCCTAGTGTCTCAGAGTAATGTCGAGTCCCGACCACCAGTTCAAGTCGCGGCAGATTAGTGAGTCCATCTTCAAGGTCACCAAAGAGCAAACCTACGTCGTCAAGGACGTATTCCGAGTCACGAGTCTGCAAACCTGGCAATGGAAAAGGTAAGCTGTGGGCGAGCTCTGTTTGGCTCACATGAGATAGTCTTTGCAAACCAGACCTTTTTACAAGGGCCCCCTTTGTAGGTTTCCTGCCAAGTCTGCTCGCCATAGCTACTTTGCCAGTCAATATAGCCGAACAGTCGAGGAAATGGGTCATTGGTCACGAATACCGCGAAGGCGTGCCGGCAGAATGGTGCGTCTCAATTTGGTCTGCTGAAATAACATCAATCCAATTCAGCAACAGGGCCATCATTCGCAATTGCCCCATTACGTCCAACATGCTTGAGCATGTAGGTTCATTCTGCTTGAGGTGCCTCGAATCTTTGCGTTGGTTTTCCGTCATCTCGTAGTTTATTGTTGCCAACGGCAATGTACTTGTGACAAGACGAGTCTAGGGCAGCAGGCCCAACTCACTGACCAGGCTCTTACATGCTGCATGTATATGGCCATTAGCGATGGCCTACAGGTTCGGTGTAGGGTCCGTCCTTTCGGAGACACGAAAGCAAAGACGAGACGAAACCTCCAAAGTGGTGCGCGGCCTCCACCATGATCCCGCTCGGCATCCCGGAGAGGATCAATTTATGCCAAGATTTCGCTTCAGCCTCATGCTCCCCGCCGACTGCGTCGTAGCGCCGGCGCTGCCAAGAGGGACATGTCAGACTGGACCTGACAGTTTGACGGGAGTGAACAAGGACATGTTTTATCTCTTGATATATTATCCGCTATCTGGGGCCATAAACCACGCGGGTTGCTGTTTGATGTCCGACAGACGTTGGCATCTTGCGTCATGCAGCGAGTTCCAAGTCGAATAGATTATCTTGCAGTCTCTGGGCGTCTGCTTGGCCAGAGCCCTCCACTCAACCCTGCAATTTGCACGCGTCATGTTTCGTGTGAGGCTTCAAGGCTGCAGACGACGGGACGATCATCACCAACCTAGACCCTTGCGCATACACACCAATGCTGCTACCCAACGGCGGCACTGCCATCAATTCGAAAAGCGGGCCTCCTTGAAAAATGCATAAAACTAAGCGTAGCAGGGCGCATATAATGCGTCTCGGGTCGGGCGCTGGCCGGCTCCAACTTCCTAAAGCAGCCGCTCCGATATACAAAGCCACCCTCGGCGCATCGGCACATGAAGGACTCTCTCCACTGAGGCAGTTTTGTCGTGAAAGAATCGCAAGATCCCACCTGACTAAATCAGAAGACCGGGAGCTACGCGTACGGCTCTGGGCCCTGGGGCCATGCCGTTCCGCATTGATAAACGCATGACTCGAGCCTCAAGCCAGCTCTATCTATATACGTATATACAGATCATCTGTGGTGTTAGTGAGTGTAATAAATACTACCTAAGAGTACGGCGAGTACTAGTCTCTTGAGTTTGTCTGTTCCTCCTCCCCCGCCGTACACCTTTGTTTCCGACAACTGCCCAAGATGCGTATCCAAGCCGGAATTGTATCATGCTTGGCCTCGAGTGCGCTCGCCGCCCGGCCATTTCTCAACGAGCCAGACACCGGAATTGAAGATGTACTAAAGTTCTCGTCCAACGGCACCCTGCCAAACATCACCTCCATCGTGGGCCTGCCCGACTTTGAATACGTTGCCAGAAAGTACTTGCCCACCAGAAACTTCACCTACTACAGGAATGGCGCCGCCGGAGAGTATTCGTATCGTAACAACCTCGAGGTTTTCCGTCGTTACCGCCTTCGCCCACGTGTGCTGGTAGATATTTCCAACATTGAGTCTACTCTTTCGTACGTTGCCATTTGGAAGACACCCAAACCAAAAAGAAACTGCCATCTGATATAATGACCGCAGAACAACCATCCTGGGCCACAACTTTTCCGCGCCATTCTTCATTAGCCCCTGCGCACGAGCAGATTACGCACATGCCAATGCCGAAATCAACTTTGTTAAAGGCGCTGCCGCCGGCAACATTCTTTACATGGTACGGACGCAATTGCTCGTGATGCTCTGGTAAAAAAAAAAGATGCTGACCCTTTGTTCCCCTCAAAACAGCCTGCATTGTTCGCAAAGCGTTCGATCGAGGATATTGCTGCAGCCAAACGTCCAGGCCAGGTCTTGTTCCAGCAGGTGTGTGTGGAAATACTGTCCAGGTTGCGCCAATTTGATACTAACCATGTATCTTCGCTAGCTGTATCTGGACTCCAATGAAACCTTCAACAAAGATCTCTTCCGAAGGACTGAAGCGGCCGGTGCAAAGGCCATTGTTTTCACAGTCGACTCTGCAGCGGACGGAAACCGACATCGCGCGGCAAGATTCGGAGTAGGCTCCGCGTAAGCAACCCTCCCTTTTCCCCTACTGCTATTAGTGCGCATACGGCGCCATACTCGTGACATGTTCTAACCATGGCCAATAGAGACTCGTCTTACTCTGCCTTTAGCGTAAGTAGAGCTTAGCTGAAGCGAGGCCTCTTGACGCCGCTTCCGGTGCCGAGTGGTGTAGAAAGAGCAACATGCAGCTAACAAGAACCGTTATAGTGGACCTTCTATGAGCAGATCAGAAACCAGACCAAGCTGCCCATCATTCTCAAGGGCATCATGACCGTCGAAGACGCCCAGGAGGCTGTCAAGCGCAAGGTCCCGGCCATCATCCTGTCCAACCACGGCGGCCGACAGCTTGATGGATCCCCGTCCTCCCTGGAGGTCGCGCTCGAGATCTACAGGAAGGACCCGGACCTCTTCAAGAAAATTGAGGTGCTCGCTGACGGTGGAATCCGCTACGGTGTGGATGCCATCATGCTCCTGTCTCTCGGTGTCAAGGCTGTCGGGCTGGGTCGGCCCTTCATGTATTCCAACATTTACGGCCAGGAGGGTGTAGAAAAGGTCATCCAGATTATGAAGCACGAGATGGCCATTGACGCCGGAAACCTTGGCATCCCGGACTTGAAGAAAGTCAGCCCGAATTTCGTAAGTGGCACCATTTCCTCCACCTGCCCCGAGTATGTCTTTGAGCCGAATCTAATGAATGATACAAGGTCGACTGGACGCCTAGCGGCTGGTCTATGTAAAAATCCATGTCCGACCTGGCGATACCTTCGCTTTTTCTCTTTCACCATTGGTGCGAGGACCAAGACGTCCGGGAATTCATGGCCGGCCATGATCAGCCCCGCCACAGTTGAACGATCCTTGAAGCTGCCTTCGCTATGTCAGCTCTTGGAAACTCACTGTAGTCACGTAGCCAGGCGGGAGTATCATCATGATGAGAGATATATTTTTTTGGCTTCGTTGTATATCTCAGCCCGAAGAGCGTTTTTGTCTTCATTCAAAATAAATAGAGTATAGAATTTTGTGATTTGGCCATTAGCTTGACCTGTGATGAACTTGTGCGGGAATTGGGTCATGTCTTCGATTCAACGTGACTAAAAGTGGTAAGTACAACTTTGGCGATGAGTATATAGCTAGCTGGATATCCGAAAATCTTTTGCTTCTTCATTTGCTTCAACCGTATAGATTCCCATTCCACCGGTGAAGGGATGAAAACCCGTGACGCCCTCATGGCATGATAGCGTCAATTAAGACAATTCACGCTTTATTTCTCAAAAACTACACCGGGATGTACACTCTGAAGGTCCTCTAGGGGCTAGCACGTGCCTGTTGGCCTGTTGACAGCACTCTGTCAGTGTTGTTGTGTGTCCCGGATGTCAGGGGCTCATACAAAGGCATACCGAAACCATGAAAAACGGTAACCACCGATAAGCTATGAAACACGGTCGCGGGCTTGTTTCATGCCATCCGAAGAAATGGCGATCCTCATTGCCCCAAGCCACGGTCTGTGTCATGGCCCGGCCCGGCCCGGGAAGATGACTCGGTTTCCACTTTCGCTGCTAACAGACCAGAACTTGCGTTCTGCATTCTTCGTTCTAGAGATCACTGCATGGATTCATTTCAATCTAATCCGCCTGTTACGCAATTCTTTGTGAATGGCTGGTATGGAGCGAAGCTGTAAGAAAAACGACAGCCAGTATGTCAACGGAAATATAAGGGGGCTTGGATGCTGTTCAATTAGTGCGCATCTTTTTGTGACACATTACGAAACAATAATTGCAACCTAGCACAACGTATCTCGATAATCATAGCTAATAGAAATCTTAAATAAACTACCAGCATGGAGTTTGAAAAGCTTCGTCGACGGCCAGGTTCTCCGAGGAACCTGTCCCACTTGAAAATATAGATCGCTCGAGTCGGAGCTTCTTTCGGAATCCTTACTTTCTTTGTAGATAATCGATTTATTGAAGTCGCACTAGACCTTGGTCGTGCTCTGAGACCGTCACAGGTGTGGCAACTCAAGGGATGTTTTAACGTCTTTATAGGTAATGACAGGAACCCACCAACAGTCGGCCGAGCTTAAACTGCATTGGGGGACTCCATGCAACGACTGCAGCTCACTCTAAGAATAAATTTGCTAAACGATTTGAGACACTCCCCATACTATCTGACACGATATAGTCAAGAAGTTTGGCCTTGGGCCTAGCAGTCATTGAGTTGCCGCAATCAATACGCAAACCTAGAAATATCAGGAGTATCAGTATATTTATACTGCTACTATATTTGCCAATTCTATCACAGTCTAGAATGTCGTCGCTCACCTCTTGGATAGTTTCATACTCGCAAATTTTATATTGCAGACAAGCACGTTTTTGTCCACACAGCACATCTCTTTCGCTATGAAATATCCTAGCCCCCTTGGCGCCACTTCCGGAGACGGATTCTGTATCCGGCTCGCTAGCTTAAATCCATTAAGGATGAAGAAGAGAATTACGACTTTCACATTGCGCAAGCGTATAACATGTTTAAAATTAGATCAGTCAAGAAGACAGGGCAAGCCTATTATACGATGTTGGTAGATTTTGGGTGGGCCATAAGTTCCCATTTAAGCCTCATTTTGCACCCTAGCATATCCCGTACGGAGATCTTTTTGTCTAAGCTGTCCCAAAAAATTGTGCTGTGTGACAAATCTCTGTTGCCCGGCTCATAGCGAATCCATTGCCCATCGGTGGTCTTGTGTGACGTTTAGGATCAAATACTACCAGACGTCGCCCCCTGCAGGTTAGAGCGGCAGTGCGAGGGTAGAACCAGCCGAAGGGTGAGCGCCCGCTGACCGAGCAATTACTATAGCCATTACATGTACACTCGAGAGTATATCGATGGGTGGGAGACAGCATTTCCAGCCGATCCTGCCCCCAATATTGCAAGAGCTGGAACACCTGAGCGAGCCTGTGAAGCTTCCAGGCGAAATTCATGTCCACTTTCTTGTTCTCCCTCCTTCTTGGCGCAAAATTCATTAAGCCATACTTTCCTAGTCACAGTGCTAAGTAGGCGCACAAAGGGTGATAAGGAAATAGAAAAAGGCAGTTCTAACAAGTACAGATGCCGAGTCATCATTTATTTAGATCCAAATTATCTGGTGGTACCAGGAAGTGTCCGCAAGCTATTGTCGTGCAGTGACACCAGGACTGCTAGTTGAATGCCCTTGGACAACTAGACATGCATCAAGAACCACGCACAAGTCCATTACGGGCTGACAATATCTCTACATCGGCTTCAAATGAATGTATAAGACAGACACGTGATTGCAAGCTGTGCTAATTGGGTCGCAAAAAATTGCTTTCCAGTGACACAGCTTGATGCACATCGCTAAAACAGGAGACGCAGTGCATGAAAAGTGCTGCCAGAAATGAGACATTCGATTCATTTGTTTGAGACAGACATGTCGACAGGCCTTGCGGCCATGGATTGTGCCACAAGCTGGTCAACCATCCGGGAAGACCATAGGACAGCACTCCTGCGGGAGGGGAGAAATACTACATCAGTCTTCATGTTTCGGTCTGCGGCTGCATCGCCGACTATCGAACTAGGCGGGAACAAAGGATGCCTCAGCCAGTCACATCATCGTGCTGCCTAACTGTCTCGTGTCGGCTGCCGTCAATAACCGATGGCCTGAAGTGCGGAGTTCCCAGTGCCTGTGTGATGAATTGCTGTGATACCAAGGTGTCTTTCTTTCTCCGACTTTTGTACAATGCCTGTCCTACAAGAGCTGTTGGAACAATCAAGGTTGGCAGCAATGGAGTGTTCGTATGGCATGTGCTAGGTTGTTGACCCTGCATGGGCGGATATGAAAGCCCGTATAGACTCGCCTGCGGTCTGGTACTCGCCCACAGCCTCTTCTTCACAGTCCAAATTAGGTACGCGTGCCCGAGGCCGCAATGAGGGCTTTCCAGGACACTTTGTTCATGAAATGCCAATATTCCATAGGGCATTCACAAACCTGTCAGAGGGCATTCAAATGTGTGAACACTAGCATATTGTAGTAGGACACCGACCTATACCGATATATATACCGCAATACGATCTCCATCTGTAGCAGGCCCTCCACTTTTGGCAGATTCGTGTAACACATATTCCAGTGGTGCTGTACACGCGCCAGACGTCCAAGAACACCTGGACACTGGCCATTATGAATGATGCCTGTAGACGAGAGTTATGTGCTTTAAAAAAAAACACGGGTGTAATTCTCAACAATTAGACCTTGATGTAAGTTGCAGAAACTACTTTCGAGATCGTGTGTGGGCAGCCGGTCCACTTGTAGGTAAAGCGGCTCTTTCAAGACAACCTTCAAGATATATTTGGCAGTCGACCTGTAAGATGCCTGGCTGGTTTTAACCTGGGGCAAAATAAAAAGTCAATACAACAAGCGGCCGAAGATGCCTCCACCGTCTGTGCTATTGGGCTATCACAGTGGGTTTTCTTGCCTCCGGAATAAATCGCTTCGAAATGAAGCAATTTGGTTGGTGGTCGAAATATATGCACTTGTTGGACAATGTAAGCTGCATTGTGCCACACTGAGACAACGCCTACCAGTAATAGCCGCTGCCGAATCTTGTCTCTTGCATAATCCAATATTTGACGATGCAGAGTGATCAAATGATCCGCGATAAACGGTTACCCCGATTTTGTCTCTCTTGTCCCGCTCACTTTGCACCTTACTCCTTCCAGTTATTCAGCCGAAGAGGACACCCTCCTTGTTCATAAACTGCAGGTTGAGAAGCCGGAAGGAACCAAAGACGGCTGGCTCCTAGCTTCCAGCTCACACTGCCACAAAACCCTCATCCTTTCTTTCTACCGTGGCCAGATTCGACTCCTTCCATCGCCCCATAAGATGAATAGTGGGCAGAAAACGGGACAGGAAAACCATCTAGCTCCCAATCATGTTTCCGCTGGCCTGCCAAGGAGTGACGACGACGACGCTGCTACGTCTCGTATGCTCTCTGAATCGTCTCCGCTTTTAATCAAGGTTGATAGTATTGGTCATTACCAAGCAGTGGTCTGGGAGTCTACCGATGAGGTTCAAGCGGAAACAGTCGTGGAGGCCACGCCACCTGGGGACGTGTGCGTTACTTGGCAGACTGAGGCAAAGTACATTGCATCGTCGTCTGCGTCTCTTCTTGTCACACTCGTTCTGCAATACTCAATAAATGTTGCCAGTGTATTTTCTGCGGGCAGAATCGGCAAGGTGGAGTTGGGGGCTGTCGCTTGTGAGTCCTTCGCGTTTACCTATTGCTCAAAAGTATTATTTTGATGACATTTGCTTCTCAGTAGCAAACATGACTACAGGCGTGACCTGCTTGGCTCCATTCATGGGGTTGGCGACGAGTTTGGATACCCTGTGCGCTCAAGCCTATGGAGATGGACGCAATCATCTTGTTGGCATCCAATGTCAGCGTATGGTCGTGTTTCTTTCGCTCCTCTCGCTGCCAGTGGCAGCGTTGTGGGCTTTTTCTGAAGGAATACTCTTACGAATTATTGACGATGGCGAGTCGGCTCGCCTAGCTAGCTTATATCTAAGGGTAATGATATCTGCCTTGCCGGGTATTATTCTTTTTGAAGCTGGCAAGAGACTTCTTCAAGCACAGGGCCTCTTTAAGCAAACCACCTATGTTCTCCTTTTATCAGCTCCTGTTAATATCTTTTTGAACTGGCTTCTTGTTTGGAAGCTTGATTTGGGCTTCGTGGGTGCGCCAATAGCTGTGGCGCTCTCCAGGAATCTGTTGGCTATTCTCCTCATCCTTTATATTAAACTGGTGAACGGGTATCAATGTTGGGGAGGGCTGAGTCTGAAAGCCTTCTCGAATTGGCGGCCTATGGTCGACCTGGCGTTGCCTGGCATGGTCATGGTAGCGGCAGAATGGCTCATCTTCGACATAATAACCTTCCTCTCTAGTCGATTCGGAACAGACTATCTAGCGGCACAGAGTATTCTAGTTTCTGTCACGACGCTTATCTTCCATTTGCCCTTCGCAGTCTCGGTCGCGGCCTCTACCAGAGTCGCCAACTTAATAGGAGCCGGCCTTGTTGATACTGCAAAGGCTGCGGCCAAGGTGGTCAGTCAAAACCCCCGTTCACAAGTTTTGGAGGAAGCTTTCCCAGAAGCGGACTAACGAAGACGTAGGCCACTGTTGCCTCATTCATCATCAGCGTTCTGAACTTTTTGATATATATCATACTGCGATACCAGATTCCGCTCTTGTTGACCCGGGACGCAAGCGTCATTATGCTCACTGCCCAAGCCATGCCTCTTGTGGCTCTTGAACAATTCTTTGACAGCCTCTGTACCGGTGCTCATGGGTTGCTACGCGGCATAGGCAAGCAATCGATTGGCGGGCCTGTCAACCTAATTGGACATTACCTAGTCTCGCTTCCGTTGTGCCTGATTTTGGGATTTCATTATTCCTGGAAGTTGGCCGGACTTTGGGGCGGCATAGCAGCTGGGCTCATGGTGTGAGTTATACGGCGTGTTACTAAATGAGGTTACTGACTGTTGGCTCAGGGTATCTTTAATTGAGTACGGTTACTTGCTGACGATTGACTGGCATGTGGCGTGTGAGGAAGCAGAGGCAAGAAATACAGCTGGTTAGAAGTCGGAAAATATCCATCTAGGTTCAGTGTTCAGTGTGTCCAACCATCCCAGCACTTTCAGAAACCAAGGCTGGTAAAAGCCCTCTCGGTTTTTGAGCCTGAAAACGGAATCTTGTGAGAGGGCGGTTGAAATGCATGGCTCAATCGCAAACGTAAAGTTGCATCCATGTAGATGCAACAAGCAATAACTTGTTACTATGCAGCGGGCAAGCTGAGATGAATTCAATATTCTGTCACGTTCAAGTTCTAGATTTATGTACCCGATTACTGCCAATTCTGAGTTCAGTCGTTCAAGGCCTTGCATCTGAAAGATCAAAAATGCCGTGGAGTTGACGTACAAGGATGGGCTCTTTTTTTCCCGAAGCCAACACCGATACGGATGCTAACGGAGGTAATAACATAGCGTAGACTCAAGGACTGTAGAAAGGCCAGAGATGAATTGCCCGCCCTACTTCCCTCACGATGAACGTTAGAAGTTGCACATGGATGTGGGACGAATCCAGCAGGCTTTCTCAGTACAAGAATCAAAAGGATGACACGAAAAATGAGAATGCCGGCGAAAAATGCCAACAAGAGGTTTCAATTGGTGGTTAATAGCGCTACTTATGCGTCGAAATCACATCATCAACTTCAAAGCAACCAGTGCATGTTAGTTTTTAGGAGGCGCCAACGGTCATTTGTTTTGTGTGGAACAATCGAGACTCTGGTTGCATTTCACTAGTTTCTGGTGATCTCACTCGTATTAACCTGTGACTGTCAAAAGCTGAGCGCAATTCTCCTTGTCCTTTGCTGGTCAAATAGCCTTGGCCACTATTAATGACGGTCGATCATAGCGGGTGTCATAAACGTTAGATACGAGGTAAAGATGGATCGAAGAGCATACCAGACAAAGGTCCGGCAGATCAAAAGCTTGATAACTACGCAGTAAAGAATCTGTCTGGTGGATCATCAGACAGTGTATTCGGAGTAATAGGCACCGTGTGGATCAGCCAACTCTTCCAATACGGAGCTGGCAAGAATAATGATCGGCGGTCGCTGGTGAAGTCCAGGGGTAATTATTGCGCGGTTTAAAGGTCGGTAGATTCCTCGAGTAAAATTAAAAAGGCTCCAGATGTCAAATTGAAAATCTGCTAAACAGAGGATCGCGGGCTGGAATCCGGCACGCACGGACGGCTTAGGTAGGTACTTGCGTACTTCAAACGTCAGACGAGTCGGTCGGCACTGTGCTGTTTTTGCGATGGACTAGCCCATGGAAGCAAACATGCATTAGGATTCTGCCGCACACCACCGCCAAAAAAAAGTTTTGGACGAGATGGCTCGCTAAATTAACGTTCAACCACATGGCCATCGCTTCTTGCTGAACCTGGGACGTCAACGGCCATAACCTCTGGCCCATCGCCAAGATGAATATCGCACAGCCCATATCTTCAGAGGTCGATGCTGTCGACTTTACATTTCTGTCTCCAGAGGAGATCCAAGCCATCTCTGTCAAGCGCATAGAGAATGACAGCACTTTCGACAGCCTCCTCAACCCCGTTCACGGAGGTCTCTACGACCCCGCCCTAGGATCATGGGGAGACGAACCGTGAGGCCCATTTATCTCAATTACCATATTTTAGACCCGACTGACAATTTTTCCCAGATGTGCGACATGTAGCCTAACTTCATCGAGCTGCCCAGGTCATCCCGGGCACATCCAGCTACCAGCGCCAGTCTACCACCCAGTTTTCATGGACCAAGCATACCATTTACTTCGAGCGGCTTGCGTGTACTGCAAAGGTTTCCGAATACCTCCAAAGGATCTCCATAAGTACATGTGCAAACTCCGCTTGCTCCAACACGGTCTCATACGTGAGGCACATATCGTCGATGCTCTTGGCGAGGCGGATTGGTCCGAGATGGAGGAAGCACTTGGGTTAGACGAGAGCGAGGCGGACGAAGAAAATTCGTCCATCGACAACGTAACAAGAAAGAGGGAACAGTACGTTCAAGAGTGCCTTCGAAGCAGTGCGCTTCGACGGGGTGATACTAGGAAGGGTAAACACGAGGGCATGGCCCAGGCTCGCCGAGAAATAATCAAACAGTTTCTCTCAGAGATAACCAAGAGAAGGCAATGTGCCTCATGCGCAGGGATCTCGCCCTCGTATCGAAAAGATAGATTTGTCAAGATTTTCGAGAAGTCACTCTCACCAAAGGAGGCAACAAAAATGGCTCTGAAAAATTTCGCACGGAAAGATGCAATGACGCGCCATTATGATGCCAAATTGGACCCAAAAGCTGACGTCGAAACCTCCGAGCCTGACGCAATTGTTGAGCCACTAAGTGATCAAGACGAGGAAGAACCCAATGATGGCGCAACGTCGCAGAGATACATTAGTCCTATGGAGGTACGGGCCCGTCTGAGTGAGTTGTTCAAAAAGGAGCAAGATATTGTCTCTCTTTTGTACAACTCGAAACCGCGTACTCGAAGTTCTCCTGATATCACCCCAGACATGTTCTTTATCACGACCATTCTCGTGCCGCCGAATCGCTATCGACCTGAAGCGCGTATGGGAGACTCCCAAGTCACTGAAGCAGAGCAGAATTCGTTGTACAAGTCGATTTTACGAGGCTGTTCGAAGATAGCCCGAGTATATTCTGTCCTGAAAAGTGAAGAGCACGCCGACATTACACAGTTGCACCAAGCCTGGACAGAGCTTCAAGAGGGAGTCAATGCACTCATTGATAAGAGCAAAAACCCTGTTCAAGGCGCAGCTGCCAAACGCAACGAAGATGGAATCAAACAGAAACTGGAAAAGAAGGAGGGTCTTTTCCGCAAGAATATGATGGGTAAGCGTGTCAACTACGCTGCCAGAAGCGTCATTTCCCCTGATCCGAACATTGAGACGAATGAGATTGGCGTCCCGCCAGTTTTTGCCCAGAAACTCACCTTCCCGGAGCCCGTAACGAACCACAATTTCAGGGACATGCAGCAGGCCGTCATCAACGGTGCCAATACATGGCCAGGGGCGGTTGCCATTGAGAATGAGAATGGTCAAGTACAGATGCTTAAAAATAAATCTGTTGATGAGCGCATATCGCTAGCTAACCAGTTGCTTGCCCCAACAAACCCTGGTGCAGTAAGGTTAAAGAACAAGAAAGTGTATCGCCATATTACAAACGGCGACGTCGTGTTAATGAATCGCCAGCCTACGTTGCATAAGCCCTCAATTATGGGACATCGAGTTCGGGTTTTGCCAGGCGAAAAGACGATTCGCATGCATTATGCGAATTGCAACACATACAATGCCGACTTCGACGGAGACGAAATGAACATGCATTTTCCCCAAAATGAGATCGCTAGAGCCGAAGCACTACACATTGCGGATACCGACCATCAATATTTATCTGGAACACAGGGAAAGCCGCTACGAGGTCTTATCCAAGACCATATCTCTATATCCATCGCCCTATGTAGTCGCGATACCTTTTTCAGCCGTGGCGACTATCATTCATTAGTTTACTGTGCAATTAGACCAGAAAGCGGACATATTTTCGGGGAAAGGATTCAGCTGGTCCCGCCCGCCATTATCAAGCCCGTGCCACGATGGACTGGGAAACAGGTTATCTCGACGATATTGAAAAACACGCAGCCGATAAATTATGGTGCTCTCAATCTACGGGGAGAGTCGCAGATCAAGGCAGAGCAATGGGGCCCTAAGTCTGAAGAGGGCACTGTGTTGATCCAAGAGGGTGAATTCGTGACCGGAATTCTTGACAAGTCTCAAATTGGCCAAAGCTCGGGCGGTTTAATCCATGCCATTCATGAAATTCACGGCCCCGCTATCGCCAGCAAGCTTCTCAGCGCTCTTGGCCGACTTCTAACTCGGTATCTCAATATGCGGGCTTTCTCCTGCGGTGTGGATGACTTGAAACTTACTGCCAAGGGTGAAGAAGCTCGGCGCCAAGAGCTACAGGCTATTAATCGGGTTGGTCTCGAAGTTGCCTCGAACTACGTCTCGCTCAAGGACGTTTCTGACAGCCAGAACCCGGTGCTTTTGGAGCGTCTTGAGGAGGTCCTCCGTGACGACACGAAGCTAGAAGGTCTGGATCTCTTGATGAATCACACGACAAGAGAAATTACAGACAAAGTCCAAAAGGTCTGCATTCCTAACGGCCTAGAAAAGCCGTTCCCGCGAAACCAGATGCAGGCAATGACAACGTCTGGCGCAAAAGGATCAAGGGTTAACGCGTCGCTCATTTCATGTAACCTTGGGCAGCAAGTCCTAGAAAGTAGGCGAGTGCCTATTATGGTTAGTGGGAAATCACTGCCTTGTTTCAAGCCCTTCGAGACCAATATTACGGCCAATGGATATATTGGTAGCCGATTTCTTACAGGCATCCGCCCGCAGGAGTATTATTTCCATCACATGGCGGGAAGAGAAGGACTTATTGATACAGCCGTCAAGACATCGCGTTCTGGTTATTTACAAAGATGTGTCATCAAGGGCCTTGAGGGTCTGATGGTTGCGTACGATACAACCGTACGTGATGCGGATGGCTCTATTATCCAGTTTCTGTACGGCGAGGACGGCCTGGATGTCACAAAACAAACCTACCTCAAGGACTTCGGTTTTATCCTGCGCAATCTAACGTCCGAAGTGGCCCAGCTGAGATATGACCCTCAAGTGGTCAAGCGTCTAGGTGCCGACCGAGAGTTGTTTACGAAATACATGAAAAGTGCTGTGAAACACTCGAAACCTGGTGATCCAAAGGGAAGGGATCCGCTCATCAGCGCGTTTAACCCAGCAACGAATGCATTTGTCTTGTCTGAAGCCTTCTACAATGCCATGTCATCATACCTGAAGGCGAATGCAGATGGCCTTGTTCGTGAAAAGGGTAACAAGTCAGCACCAGACTCATCTCATGCACTCAACAGGAAGAACGCTGAGGTTCTGTTTGCGATGAAGTATTTGCAGTCTCTGGTAGAGCCCGGGGAGGCAGTCGGTATCGTCGCAGGCCAATCCGTGGGCGAGCCATCGACACAGATGACCCTAAACACGTTCCATTTGGCGGGACACGCGGCGAAGAACGTCACAGCAGGTATTCCTCGGCTGAGAGAGATTTTGATGACGGCCTCGAAGGATATTTCTACGCCAGCTATGTCTCTTTACCCTCATGATAGTCTTTCCAAACAGGAAGCCGAAGCTTTTACCAACTCAATTAGTGCTCTTCCTCTATCGTACATCTTGGATAGCGTTGTTGTGGAAGAGAAGGTTGGCCGTGGCAAAATGTTTGGTCTGGCCAAGATCTATCTCATCAAACTAAAGTTCTTCCCCTCGCAAGAATATTTTGAAACGCATCATGCCAGCATATCCGATGTACTGGATGCCGTGGAGAAGAGACTAATTCGCCACATTGTTGCACTCTCGAAAGCCGAGGTGAAAAAGAGAGCACTGGATGCGACTGCAGCTACACCTGACGTTGGAGCCAAGGCCGGCGTTGTTGAGATGGCTGCCTCATCAGCTGGAACTGTTGGTGATGACGACGATAACGGTGGCGACGATGCAGGCGACGACGACTTTACCTCTGCCAAACAACGGGCTAACCGCCTCGAAGCTGTATCGTATGGCCCAAATGATGACGCCGATGATGAAATTCAGAAGGCAATGGATGAGGGTGCAGCAGCTGACGAGCTGGACGTAGAGAGCTTGGACGGCAACCCACAGGGCAAAGAGGCGACAAGCGAGGATGAGGACGAAAGTGCCGAGCGCAAAGTAGCTGAAACGGCTAAGCTCCGAGCCGCTGAATCGGTTAAGATCCGAGCGCAGCGTGTTCTGTACATGTTTACAGAGGTCACAGGGTTCGAGTATGACGAAACAGATGGAGACGAGTGCAATGTGACGCTCGAGTTTGACGCGAAGGTGCCAAAGTTCCTCATGCTCAACGTCGTCCAAAGGGCTATAAAGAAGACAATGGTCAGGGAAATACCAGGAATTGGGGCTTGCAGAATGGATGAGCAGAGTGCAGGTGGGAAGGAGCGCGTCATTCATGTTACTGGAGCCAATATCCGGGCAATTCAAAAGTACAGCGATTACATCGACCCGGATCGAATTCAGACCAACGACATCGCGGCTGTGTTATCCATGTATGGTGTTGAGGCGTGTCGAAGCAATATTGTTCGAGAGCTTGCGGGGGTGTTCGGGTCCCATGGCATCAAAGTCGATAACCGGCACTTGAACCTCATCGCAGACTATATGACGAGGAATGGCGACTTCACAGCTTTCAGCCGCATGGGTCTGCGGGGCAATGTCAGCCCCTTCACCAAGATGAGCTTTGAGACGACTCTTGCCTTCCTTAAGGACGCGGTGCTGGATGGAGACTGGGACGAGCTGGCAACACCTAGCGGCCGTCTTGTGATGGGCCGACTAGGGAAGCTGGGCACTGGTAGTTTTGATGTTTTGACGAATCTTCCGACCGTCCATTTTGATTCTTTGGCATGACGATTTGTGGGCTAAAGCAGCTGTATAGAGCTTGATGAGGAAATAACTTTGAGCGAGACGATGGATGATTTGAGGCGAAAGCTAGGCCATGCGCGACTTTAGCATTGTAAATATCAAATTTATTACTTGTGTGTACTCGTTTTGGTGGGTAGGCAGCTATGCCCATTCACTTTCGCGTGAACCGAGCACGTAGTTTGTGCTCCATGTTCAGACACCATATCTCGACCTCCAGACCTAGTGCTCACTCTAGTAGTCGATCCAATTTTCGCAATCATGAAGGTGCATTTTCTAAAATATGAAAGTGGTTATATTGTGCATTATTGTTAATCTGGAGGAACAATCGACTGCTTTTGCAAATAAATGGAAAACTCGCGGCTAACACTATCATCACAGATCCTCCATCCGTCGTTCCAAGTTGGTACAATAACACCGAGCCGCTCTCATAGAATCATCACCGCTTTGTCACCAGTACTTGTGTGTCTAGGTAAGATTCCTGGGAAGCAGGTATCGTAAATCGTTTGTGGAGCAGGCAGAGTACATTGTGTTCTTATCACGACCCGGAAACACTCTGCCTTTAATGTCTCTAGGCAAACCGTGGTTTTTAAGTATGTATACCCAGCATTCCACAATTGCCGAAATGATGAGTTCCTTTGCGCACAGACTCGGAGACTGCGGATGTTCCCATCTACAGCATGTTACAGTGTGACGACGAGAGTAAAACAGAACCAATTTGAAGGAAAACTTTTTTGGCGGGAGAAGAAGGGAATGCCTTTTGATGGCGTCCTTGAACCTGATTATTGCAGAATTGTTTACATTCCCGTACTGGAGATACTCACAAGAGTAGGTTCTGAAATTGGGCATCACCGTAAGACACTGCTAAATTTGTGTGTGGGACACACTATTTAAGCCACTGCATATAAACGTAGGTATTTATTAGGTGTATCCTGCCATTCAAAACTGTAAATCGCTTGAAATCATCATTCATAACCCGCCAGGCTATGAATTGATTAGACATGTTAAGGCTTGAGTTTACTCGAGCATAGAGCGAACAAGGGGTTTAGTTATTCTGATGTCAATGACATACTATGCATCATTTTTATCTCTTATTTTGACAAAAATTTATTTCATGGTAAAACAGTGAGTTGTTCAACATTCGTATACGCGATAATTTATGATAGAAGGAGTGACAGATTAAACGACTAGCCGGTGCCAGTCATCTTGTAAAATACACAGCTTGTTCCGAACAGATCTTCTCAACACTCAATGTCCATGAATAGCCCGTTGACCCTTTTTCTCTGACTGCAAATTCTTATCCTTTAACGTCGGGCAACCAGGGAATTCCTTCACCTTGGTAGTTGAATGGGCCTGCAAGTCTCCACGACCTGCAGTGTACTCCTCCATTGATTTTTCTGGCAGGACAGTAGTCTCGTGATGGATGGGAGCAGCATTATGAGTTTCATGAATCGGAACAGTAGTGTGGACGTACTCTGGCTGGATAGTCTCCTTCTCGATGACGGGCTGAACGTGATGGTGAACATGGTGTTGCGTACGCTCTCCTTCAAGTACCGGCGCAGCCGTGGCCGTCTGTTTAGTGTCATGGGTAGTTGAACTGTTCACATAGTTTGCAGCATCTCGCTTCAAAGCAGCTTTAACATCCTCCTTGTTGCCATGCTCAACGGTTTTGTGCTCAACGGGAACGGCCTTGTGGGTATGTTTCTCGGGCCTGGATACAGACCGAAAGGTAAGCATTTTGGTAAAAATGTGAGTTGTTATGTTCGGGGGTTCACATACAGTGTTTCTTTGGCCTTGATGGGCTGGATCACAGTTTGATGGTGGTCTTGGTGAACTTCGCGATCAACAGCAGTGGTAATTTTTTCGTGTTGCTCAGGATAGACATGCTCCTCGGTGACGGGCTTTCGAACGTCCTCATCAACTGTGGTCTTGTGGTTTCCATCCTGAGAGAGAAAGTTGGAAACTACCTTCTTTGCCTTCTCCATTGTTTTGTAGGTGATGTTATGTGATTTAATGTCTGTTTTAATGCAGTATTGCTGATGGTGTGGTTCAAAATTTCTTTGATGCGGAAGTGTCGGGATTAAATACGTCAAATCTCATGTCATCAAGGGCATATATTAGCTTCAGCGAGCCTTAGACCATATGAGGCCACCAGCAACATAACGTCGGAGATAACCGCCCTAAGAATCTAGGCGATATGGAAACTTGGTCGATTGATGTCACAACTTATGTCATTGGTTTGGTTGTTAGCTATCTTGTCAGAACCCCTGAGTTACAGCGATGATGCTGGTTTTCCATGATGAATCGCTCCATTAGCCGCGAGACGATGGAAAACAACAAATCCGACGGAGAGAGACGTCATTTTGAGCTCTGCTATTCCAATTCGAGAGCTTCGATTCCTATTCTGGTCGTCAGGGTCACGGTTTAGTCAACATCGGGCGGTGACCCAACAGCTAAAGTAAAGTTTGCGCCACTGCGTATCTCGATCGACATCCAGCCAATGCTGGACCGAGCTTCCGGGCGCCGTGGAGGAACAGAACAGGTGGAATTTGAATAGAAGTGGATAAAGACGTTAAGATCGCTTGTGTCCTCTTCGGCGTCATCGATCGCCCAGTGCAACTGCGGCTCCAACCTTCATCGAGGTCGTCTGCTGGACCCTAAGAGCAAACTAGCAGAGTCTGATCTCTACATCGCCGAGACAATTTACCCCGGCCTCTTCCACTTGGGCTCAGCTACTGATTACAGGATATGACGACATTCGCGGTGTGTTAATGGCCGATATTGAGTAACAAGCCAAGGTGAGACAAAGCCGCTTCCGGCGTCTTAAGCGGGACAACTGCTTTGTGACAACGCCGACATAGCTCAAGTCGAGGAACTTGAAGATGTAATAAACTTAAATGAAAGCAATGCTTGATCTCAATCAATATCCTGGCATAGGGAGGGTTATTCAAACCAGATTGACTGACCGACTGTGGTCTTTACACATTACCACAAATCTCAAAATGTTCGAACAACTCCACGGGAAGAAGGCTGAGGGCAAACCACACTGAGGATCTCCCTCGAAGATTCCAATTTAGTACCATCATAGGTTTCTTAGTTGCAACTAATCCCAGTTATGCTTAGAACGATGTTAGGGGAGCATTCAAGCGTCATGGTTTCCAACGCGCTCCACACCAAGCGACCTAGTTGAAAGTATCGTGGTATTGCGAAGCTGACTAGAGTATACAGCAATACAACACGGCATACTTGAGGGTTCAAAGCGGGATGAGGAATCAAGGTATGTTCTCATTTCATCCCCTAGAGGAGAAGATTCGTATCTGATGTTCATCAAAGTACCGCTCAATAGCATCAGCATCCACACTCCACTGAGCCATTGCCACATAACCATCGGGTCGTAGTATATAGACAGCATCACGAGTTAGTCCAGCAGAAGCACATCCAGAGGTCCAGCTGAATGACGTCAACCTCAGGCCGTGCTTGTTACTCCAAGTCGTGAGGGCGTTTGTCGCAGTCCCATAAACGTGAATCTGCCATGTCATGACCAGAGGGGCTCATAGTTGGCGATCAGTTGTGGAAACCAGACGATTGGCAAAGCAAGCCTTTTCTTCTTGGTGTGTATCCAGCAGGACATCCTCCGCGTCACCTGCCAATACGGCAGCCAGTTTCCACGCAAGATTGATAGAGTCACCGATTCCAGTATTTATCCCTTGGCCGCCGGCTGGGCTATGAACGTGAGCGGCGTCTCCGAGCAGAAACGCGCCCCTTGCGAAAGGCTCTGCGACCCGGTGGTGAAGGCGATACGTGGAAAACCAAGTGACCCTGCTCCCTTGGAGCTTCATCTGGTCCATGGCGCGGCCGCTCATATCCTCAAAGGACAAATCACGCGATACGGCAAAAGAATTGTGTCGAACCGTGCCGATGAGTCGTGCGCGGCCCTGCCCTGCGAGAGGGAAGGTGGCCAAGAAGTCGGCCTGGTCGAGACATACATGTAGTTCGCCGTCCATGGCAGGACCGGCGCCGACAATATCGGCAACGTAAAACACTTGGTCGTAGATGCCGCTGGGAAACGAGATGCCGAGAGTCTTGCGCACGACAGAGTGCGATCCATCGCAAGCCGGCTATGTAATTTGCCTCAACCACTTCTTCCTTGCCGCTTGCTCTCTTTAACCAGACCACGACCCGTTGGGCGTCACGTTCACCCTTGAAGCCGACGAGCTCTTTTTGCCATTTTACAGATACTCCAAAGTCCTTGCGCAGCCTGTCCATCAGCATTCGCTCGGTGTTCGTGCTGCGGGTAGATTTGGACAAAGGGAAAAGGCGTCATGTCTTCGCCGATCCGGTCAAGCGGCGCATGGAAAGCCCGGCGCCCATTGACCCAGGCGTCGAAGGCGACTGCCTTGCGGCCTTCTCCGACGACGGCGCTCGCAAGCCCAGGAATCCAGGATCGAACAGGGCGTAGAGTTCGAGAGTGCGCGCTTGCACAGTGAGTGCGCGAGTCGAAGTTGCGGCTTGCTCTGCCTTGTCAATGATACGGACTTGGACGCCGAATTTCGACAACTAAAGGGCAAGCACGAGACCTGTTGGTCCGGGCCGACAATTAACTTTTAAGACACTGGTGGAGGAGGCGGCCATGGCCGTGCTGCTGTTTCTCCCGGGCTATATGTGTAGTGTTAATGTTTTGCCGAGTAGTTTGCTTCATTCTCCATGAGTTATAGCCACCCCAGATAACCCTGAGGAAGCTCATTATATATATACAAAATGTGGCAAGTCTAGTTAGAAGATGACGGCCGTCTTCGCTTGCTGCTGTCTCACCAGGTTCCAGAGCGCCTGTGTCGTGATGCCTTGAGCCACGGCGAAACGGTCTCTATTTTGCCGACCTTGCCTCTCATGTAAGACAGCCCCTCTCTAGTAATAGCATTGTTTCTTTGTAAGCACGGGGAGGGGGGGATGATTGGAATCCTGCAGGTAGTTAGGGCTGAACAAGCCGATGGCATCGGATTCGCGGTCGGAGCAGTCGGAGCAGTCGGAGACAGGTGGAGCCCGACGCCGAGATGGACCAAGGTTGGGCCGGTTTGACATTGCTTCTCTTGGGAATAAGCACGTTGTAAGCAGTAACTACTTGGGCGAAGTGTAGGAGGCCGTGGCGGGAGATGAACAACAGAAGCGTGTGAGTTTGTGCGCGGCAATATCGACGAAAAGTATCTATAATGTATATTACTGTTTCGTAGTTACAGTTCCCTAGCTGTAGTACGTCTAAAATATAGTATTATTAAATGCCTTTTATTTAGCTCTTTTCGTGATTTTTTTTCTAAAAGTTAATAGAGAGATGAATTATTATATATTCACCTCTCTATAATAAGAATAAACTAATATATAGTATTTACTTTTTTAGCAACTTTATAATAGACTTGTCTTATTTCTCCTCTTTTTCTTCTTTTTTATTCGCATCTTCAATAGCTTTAATATTAAAAGAGAGTGGTAATAAAAAATAACACCCAGTCAAACGTTAATATAAAGTATTCTATGATCTCTGTTACCGTTTTCCTCGCGGTATCCTCTCTGGGTTTCCTAGGATCCCCCTTTAGGAGAAATCCAAATTACCCTGATTACGTCGATTTTAGGAAGAACAGGAATAGAGCCGTCGAAGCGCAATACTTTCCACAATGGCCACACGTATATGTAGTGGAACCAACAGCCAATAGAGAAATTATCCCTCGACAAACACGCAGATTCCGGACAAAAGCCCGCAACGCGGACCTGTTGATCAAGGAGATAGGAACACACGACTGGCAGAGCTATAATACTTCTCCTCGAGACACGTATGATTCCGCGTTAAAGTCGACCCCACGTGATGGGTTCAGCGTATTTGTCGAGGCTGTGCCTAATCGCCGTGGCCCTCCTGGTGGATGTCGTCCTTGAATGCTGCATCCCCGGGCCCGTGGGCCGATTGAAAATATATGTAAGGATCACGTCGACTTCCATGTCTACCTGAGTGATCATCTAGAACCATTCGAAGACCCATACTATGATGAGGCTGGGTGGCATTAAAAGTGTGAATAATGGTAATAACAGCAGCTCAACCTGCTGGTACAAGAGTTGCCAGACATGTTTTGGATAATACTTGATGTATTACTCTATATATTACTCTAGGGTTTTACTCAAGGATATTCGTGTTCTCTGTATTCTTGTTGATATAGTTGGTGTCTAAACATGGAAGGAATTGAATTTCTGGCTACTTAGCTTTCCTTTAGAAACTGTGATATTGTAAGTGTTACGACCTGGAAGAGAATTATCGTGTGAGTAACTGTGCTTGTAATTTTGCTAACTAAAATCTCTATGAAAAAGAGTCAAATCCGGCTTGCTAGCTGCGAGCACCTTCCATATACAGCCCAGTTGCTTATAAGCGGGCCTGGGATAGCTTCATAGCTAGATTCTGGGTGGTTAGAGGCGCCGACTTCACACAATGCATGGAATGTGAGACCTCCAGTCTTTAGAATAAAGCATCTATTGCAATTCTCGACATTCGCAAGCTTTGACGCCCTTTGGATCAAACATCGCGCCACCACGGCATAAATATCATGTAGACTGTAACCCCGCAGATGTCACTTTGCAGGGCATATGGAGAGGTTCAAAATATGTATCCAACCAGGCAGCCTGCACAGTAATTCCCCAACAGTATACTGCGGAGAAGAAGTGAGGCTGTGAACAATCGAGAGGGGGGTCTTGCATAGTCGGGCCAAAATGGCACCCCGTTGCATTTTGAGCCACTCGAATCAGGAGGGGAACCTGACCTTAAACGATGCATATTACGTAAGAAGTATCAATCATTTATTTCAGCTACATGTGTAGCCATGCTCCCATGCCATTCCCTCTGCCTACGAGCGCGCATAAAACAACGTCATTGTGTTCACAAATGTCAGCGTCGCAATATCGATTCGCCATACAGGTTTCTCGCCGGAGGACATGCCAGCCAACTATGATTCCCTGAAGTTCTTCGGAGTGCAACTCTGACAGTGGGCCACATGAAGAAACCAAAGTTGCGCCGTTGGGCCTACTATCAGCAATAAGTTGGCTGTGAGGTGCCGATTTTGGCGCTTGAATGGCGAAATGTTTGCTCAAGAGTATTGCTCCCGCACCAGTTGATGACATGATTTTATCGACATTCTGCGGCATAAGTGGCATGGACTGACTATTTCTTTTGCGCTTAAGTGAGGAGTGAGGAGGGGGGTAATAGAGGGGTGAGACAACTTTTGACAACATGGGATGTTCTCATCACGAGCGATAATCAGGGTCAATGCAGGAATCGATTTGGAACTACTGGCATATTTCTGTGGCTTGGGGTGAGAACATCTCATGGGTAGCATTCATGCAAGTGAAAAACAAGGACGCCGCATGACGGATGATCCAGACCTTATGTCTGTCTCGGCTCGGTGATTTATACAAGATGCCGTTGCAAAAGGCTACGCGCGGGGTAGAGACGTACTGGTGGCCGTTTTTCTCTGCTGATTGATCCGAAGAGCCTGCATTCACTTCAACGTCTATAAATATGTCTGGTTCGGCCCCTTTAGCCGTGTTCTGATTTGCTTCCAACATATACTCCCTAATTCATGAATCACGCTCGACATGTTGAAAAATTGTCTCCTGTATGGTCTTTCTCTTCTTGCCATTACATCCCAAGTGTGTAATGGTAGGGCGGTTGACAAAGAAAAGCGTGCCTCGGCGGCACTGGCTTGGAAGTCGTTAGGAGGTTCTATCGTAGGTAGGTATTTTCACAGCAATGCTTCCTCCGTTACATATGTACATATTGACTTGGTCTCACACGAACAGGCCACCCTGGCGTTATCTCATGGGCACCCGACCGGACAGATGTCTTCGTCAGAGGAAGCGACAATGCCGTATATCACAAATGGCAGGCTGGCAGCCCAGGTACGGCATGGGGCCCTAGTGACACAGGCTACCAGGCCCTCGGAGGCTCTATTATCAGTGACGTCACTGTAGTGTCTCGCGGTTACAACCGGTTTGATGCCTTTGTTGTTGGTGCCGACAATGCGTGCTATCACGGGTGGTGGAACGGTAGCTATTGGAGTTCATGGGGAACTCTAGGCGGTGCCTTTGGCGGTGATATTAGTGCTGTAGCGTGGGGAAATGACAGATTGGACTTGTTCGGTCGCGGTATAGACAATGCAGTCTGGCACAGGGCTTGGGATGGAGCCGCCTGGGGTGCATGGGAGAGCCTTGGTGGTGCCATTATAGGAAGTCCAAAGGCAGTTTCCTGGGGCGCCAACCGACTCGACGTGTTCGCAAGAGGCACGGACAACAGTGTATTTCACATTGCCTGGAACGGTTCTTTGTGGTCAGACTGGTATAACCATGGTGGGACAGTGCTTGAAGATATCACGCCTGTGTCCACTGCCCCAAACAGACTGGATCTCTTCTTTCGTGGAGGAAATAACGCTCTGTTCCAAAAGACGTGGAATGGAGTAGCTTGGAGCGATTTGATCAGTCTGGGCGGAGTTATTATGTCCCGGCCATCGGCAACAACCTGGGGAGGTAAGTATATCACGGTTGCGGCACAAGGTGCGAATAATGCTGTGTACCTGTTGGAGTTTAACGGAAACTCTTGGGGAGACTGGCGATCTATCGGTGGCGTGGTGACTGAAGCACCAGTGATTAATCCGCTTGGTTCTGTCAACGCGGCCATCTTTGCGAGAGGCCCCAACGCTGGCTTATTTGTATACGAGTAAATTAGCGTAAAGTATTAGCTTTAAAACTTATTGAGGGAGAGAATTTTACATTCTCAGCGTACTCGATACTGCTTTCGCTGGACAGTGCTACATAATACTTGTACTCACGGTCATTATTGTATTTCTTTGGTTATGTGCTGTGATGTATACGCCCAAATAAATTACCGACACTTCGTACACTGAGATCACCGTTGACTATCTCAAGTAGGCGAGGACGCTGGCTGCAAGAAGAACGGGGGCAGAGGGCCATCTTTACTTGCACAGATAAAGGTCGAGCCCGTTTCACATTTCAAAATTGCCATGATAAGGGACAAACGATGTGAACCAGACATTCATCCAAGACTCCTCCCCCCCCCCCAAATTGAACTCAGAAGATCCCATGAAAACGGCATATTTGGTGATCGATTCTTTTTCATTCTCGACTGAGATGTTTCTGGAAGAGCGAAGGGTCTTTTGGATTAGAGAAGTGTTAGATTGTATGTGCTATTATGATATTAATCGAGAGTGATTGAAGATATAATAACGCATATGTTTGGTAGATCGACGTGCTTTATTTAGACGAGACGAGTTTATATCAGGTTTATCCTAGCCGCCAAACGAGGAATAACATCCTAGATATTGCTTTCACATAGAACAGATCCTAGCGGATTGATTGTACCGCAAAGTAGACCCGAATGGAAGAAATAATTTCTACTAACTCCAACTCTGTACTTGGAGTCAGAAATAGTACTATAGCATTACAGAGCTAGAGTGCCTATGCATATGGCGCCGATGGACGTATTCATCTACGATATCCTAGTCCTTCCCCCTTTTGTTGTATACTACAATCAGTCTAGCACATACCGAGACATTATCTTGAAAATAGGAAAGGTCATTATGGTTGAGCTCGGGTATTCTCCTCTTTGCTGCGGGGGGTTGCTGGATTCCAACAGCGGAAATGTAATAGTAAGGCAAGGTCTTTTTTCCCTTTAGCAACCCCGGATTTTGAAAATCCGAAAACAACTTGGCCATCTGTCAGCCTATATTCTTTATTGCTTTTGCGGTATAGTTATCACACGAGTCTTCCTTGACGGTTTCTGGAGTAATTGTGAGATATCACGACGGAGAATTGTGGGTGGTGGGGTAACAACGTCGATGTGATCTTAGTTAAGCGGTTACTTATTATACCGACGGTCCTGAGACCTCTAGCGCTTATTACTTTTCATATTCCGTGTTAGATTTAGCATCCTTAGTTTTTTAAGAATTTCAATGACTATACTCATTACTCTGCTCTTTTACCAACTGCCAGTTCCTTAATCACCATCTCCAAATCGGCACCAGTTTTATGACGTCTCTCGGCGGGTGAGCCACAGACAAGCTCTTATGCAAAACACGCATCAATATGTAACTTGGAGCGAACGGGAGGGGCCATAAGTTGGCTCCAATCACCTCGTTGATCCTCTACACGAACGGGAAAACAGGTGGGCACCTTCCCATCCTTTTCTTGTCTTCAGTTCGCCGTCCTTCTCATCCGTCTTGTTGCCAAAATCATGACTTTCCTCGTAATATTCAACTGACGCCGAAGCCGAGGCTTATTGGACGGCTAAATATCGTGAGCGTTATGCCGAACACGGCCAGCCCCTTATTCGCGCGTTTCCTAGTGCTCGCGATTTGCTCGAGAACCTCCGAGCAGCCCGTATCCCAGTTGCCATTGTCAGCAGGTAGCAGCAGTGTTGCTGCCCTTGAGAACAAGCAGTTGAGCGAGTATATACCCAGAGGTCAGATCGTTGGCGACAAGACCGTTGGAGCTACCCGAAAGCCGGACACTGCTAGCTATGAAAAAGTACTGGTGCCCATACCAGAGGAAAGATATGGCATTTCTCGTCTCAACGCCACCCAGGTTCTTAAGGTTGGAGACACTGTAGCGGATATACAGTTGCGAGGAACATTGGTGGCAAATCATGTTGGTGTCGATGTGGTTACGGAGACAAGAAGGAATGCGAAGATTTGAAGGGGGACTATATTGTAGACTCATGTTTCCCTTGTATCAAGTGACTAACTCTACTGGAATGAAATAGGAGATGACCTTGGCTTTGATGCAGAGAGGGAGGTTTCAGGCCTTGAATATGCCGGACAAGGTGGCACCAAGAAACACTACGGGTTCAAGTCTGCTCCAACACGTTGTGACGCAAAATCTACCCTTTTTCATGGAATAGAAAAGACTGCTGAATAGGGAAAATGGCATAGCTGTCCGAGGAAGCAAACTTCCCGACAATGAGCCCAAGCGACAGCTTGTTACGATGCAACGGCACTCCGTCTGCTCGCTTACTGACGCTATAAACGTGATGGCTATGAGAGCAGTGTCTACAGAAGAAACAATGATGGCTGTTCTTACATTCGGAGACCTGAAGCAATGTTTCATGTCTTTCCTGACAGCAGAAGTCGCACATGTTGGACATAAATCGCGCAGCATCTGAACAGAAGCGCCTTCTCAGAAAAGGCCTTTGCCACCCCACTCCCTGATACAGATTTCTAAATGCAATCAGAAAAACACCCTTAGTGCACGACGGCATCTTAATAGCCTCCCCGGGCTGATCATGTCGTAATGTATTGGGCCCTTGCAACATTCATCATCTCTCTACATGGCTTCCCGCACCGTGTTGCTCAACCAGGGCCCTTACTATCACGAAGATGCTGCCACGGGCCCTATCGCTGCTGGCATATTTATACAAGTCTCCAACGGAATTCAGACTCTAGCCATTTCATATACCTTGTATTGTGAAGCCGTGGACAAGGCAACGATGAGCGAATTTGGAGGCATCATCCAGTGGAGCGGCTGTACAGGATGTGGAGATGCTACATCAGCCCGAGCTGACGGACCAGCTTCTCTTTGCGATGAGAGCAGTGAAAGTAACTTAAGCTCCGTTTACACGGCAGTCGGTCATGCCAGGAGGTAGCAAGTTCTCACTCTCGCAGCTCCATCCGACGCAGCTTCACCACCCCGCACGGCCGAATCCCCCCAAAGCCTCAACCATTTCGCGTAAAGTCACATACCGCTCATTACACAGTAATATCAGATGGAATCACGTCGATTGAACAGACCAAGATATGTCTACAAAATCACCACGTCTACGCCACCAGACCCCATCCCCGCCGTCTACCCACCATCAGAACTAGATCAGACCGATGGGTTCATACACCTCAGCACGGCAGCTCAGGGACGCACAGAAACAATATGGGACGGGAAATGACCAGATTTAACTAACCCCTGTTACAGGTCCCCAGGACTGCAGACATGTTTTTTAGCCACGTGTCGGAGGTGTGGGTTGTAAAGATACAGCTCGACGAGCTCATCCAACACCGTATCCACTGGCAAGGTGACGGGTGCGTCCATTTATACGGAAACTTTGGCGCCCGGAACGTCGTTGCTGCGCAAAAGTGTGCTAGGCAGGGCGAATCGTGGTCTGACTGCTTCCAGGACGCAACATGGCTTATCTGAGGAAAACTCCTGGGGTACATAGTAAAGGGAATGGTAACGTCTGCGCTCACAAGCCGCATGGTAGAGATTTCAACAATATACGCAGCTGTTCATGGCGATCCAGGGCACCGTCTAGTTTTCCCGTCGCAGTCTGAGGGTTTCGTATGACACGGTGATGCCTGCGTAGGCCGGTGACACGATACGGGACTACTCGGCTACCGGACAAAGAAGTCGCAGGGCTCGACATGTCAATCTATCTGCTTGATTTCATGGCTTGCATGTTGACAACTTTGGTAACCATTTCAAGCCTGTTGATCGTCATGGCAATGGGCGCACGGCGTTGGCTGTGGCTGGCGCCGCCGACTCTTCGGGCCAATTGACTTGGAAAACTGAAGCCTCCGATGGTAGCCGTGGCGTGGAAGGATTGTTGGTCCAGCTTTAATGACTAACTTACTGCAAAGAACCAGCTTCTGGACAGGGACGGCAAGCAAGCTTTCAGGTCAAGCTTTGGCCCACGTGGGTCGCTTATAACTTTATACCTCAGGGGGGAAGGCAGGATTGATGACTTGCCAATGTCCCCAGTCATGAGCCATGAGCCCTGGGCCAATTGATCATGGTGGCACGGTCAAGGTCCAGACTCAGCTGGGGATATCCGCTTGGCGATGTTGGCAGGGGTTGCGAACGCAGATGGTTGTTGGAAACGAGCAAACGATGAAGATGCCGAGTACAGGTATTGATAGACTCGACGCAGCCAAGATGAAGCCAGGAAGAAGACGAGCAATCAATCACGGCCGCCACACACCAGCTCAAGACCTTGTCCATAATGTGTGTCTGACTCGCCTGGTGGCGATTGCAGCGATCGACAGTCTCAACCAAAAAGTGGGCTCTGTTTCGGCTGGGAGTAGCAATTCGGCAATGATGGCCTTTTGCCATGTTGTAGGCAAGGTTGGAGACGGTCCTTGCGACGGAGATGACCCGACTGCCAAAAATACTCGGCTCTTCCTTGCCACATGTGTCACCAGAGATGGGCAAATTGGCCCGTCATCTCATCGAATCTGGGTTTCTGTTGAACCTATTTCTCTACAGGATTGCAACCAGCCAATAGCTTGGTTGCGCCCATCAAGACGGATGGGTAATCCTTGTTCGAGCGAGCGGGACGCATAAACGCGCCGTCGACGGCGACGACGGTGACGGGCAAAAGACGCCGTCAAAGAGCCATCACAGAGGCCAGGCGCTGAAGCTGCGCTACCCCGTCTTGGCCCAGGTTGCAACGTCTTGTAGACAAGGGGCTATGCCTGGGAACATTTGACTTTTTTATCCGGTCTATTTGTGGCGGCCAGTGACACAGTTGGTAGATCATGACGCCACTGCCGGGGTTCCCTTCGCCGGTGCTGTGCTCCGTTTGCGTCGTGTTTTGGTTTTTGAACAAAAATTCCCCGGCCCGCTGCTTCTTTTGTGCCTGTACATTTACTCGATACATCCATCGCCTTGGTAGAACTCACCTGGGAGAAACCTCGGCGCAGACGAAGACAATATTCAACCCACAGACCTCACGACGACGACTCGAGCGCTTCCCGCACATTCGATAGCAGGCCGATTACGAGGTTCTTTGCCTTTTCTTCTCCCAATGGTTCTCTCGATACTACCACCTTGTCGACCTGGTTAACCGGGGCGGAGACAACATTCCACCCCTCAGACAAGTCCTCATCATGGGCGTCGCAGTCCGGCCATTCAAGGTGCCCGTCCGCAGGAGGACGCCGGCCTTTGTTCTCATGGCCTGTCTCTTCCTGTTGCTACTCTGTCTGGGCGCGTTTGAACGCTCAGAATCTCGCCTGCAGTACGCCCTGCCCCTGGGATTGGAGGCGGCGCTGCCCGAGAAGCTGCGCGTCCCCAAACCATGCCGATCCGATCTCGACCATCTGAGGCGCAGCAGCTACAACCTCACCCGGCAAATCGTCCATCAGAAACGGTGCATCCGCGGCCTGCGCAGCGCCGAAGCCTCGCGGGACGTCGTCTCGAGCCACGAGCAGCCGCTGATTCAACCCGGCAGCAGTCGCGTCGTGGAACTGAACCACGGCTGCCGCGGCGCCGCACCAGCCGCGGACGAGGCCTCAAGCTGCGACCCCATCGCCGTGCAGGTGCCGCCGCCGTTTCCGCGGCGCGACTATTCCGAGTTCCTCTTCGCGGTGGCGTCGTCGTCGGAGCGGCTCGCCCAGTCCATCCCCCAGTTCAGGCACTGGCTGGGCAACACGGAGGCGCGGCTGCTCGCCATCGTGACGGACGCGCAGCTCTCGCAGGGGCAGATGCGGAGGCTCACGGCGCAGTACGAGCGGGCGGGCGTCCGGTTCATCGGCACGCGGCCGGCCGACCCGGCCGTCGGCGTCAACGAGCAGCACTTTGTCGCCGTGCGCCATCTCCTCGAGCACGCGGGCGCCGGCACCAGATGGGGCGTCGTCATCGACGACGACACCTTCTTCCCGTCGCTGTACCCGGTCGCGCGGGTGCTGGACGGGCACGACGCCTCGGTGCCGGCGTACGTCGGCGGCCTCTCGGAGAACAGCCACGCCGTCAGCTTCCACGGCCGCATGGCCTACGGCGGCGGCGGCGTCTTCCTGTCGGTGCCGCTGCTGCGCCTGCTCGGGCCCAACGTCGACGCGTGCCTCGCCGAGAGCAGGATCCGCGAGGGCGACGGCATGCTGCGGTACTGCGTCGAGGCCAAGACGGCCACCAACTTCACGCAGGTGCCGGGCCTGCACCAGCTCGACTTTGCCGGCGACCTGAGCGGCTTCTACGAGTCGGGCCGCCTGCCGCTCAGCCTGCACCACTGGAAGACGTGGCACCAGGCGCCCGTCGACAAGATGGCCAAGGCCGCCCTCTTCTGCGGGAGCTGCGTGCTGCAGCGGTGGCGCTTCGGGCCCGACACCGTCTTGTCCAACGGCTTCAGCATCGCCGTCTACAAGGGCGGCGCCGACGCCCTGCCCCTGCACCGCACCGAGGACACATGGGACGCCGACCCGGCCAGCTGGGAATGGAGCCTGGGTCCCATGCGGGAAAAGGTGCCTGCCGCCGAAAAGAAGAGCTATCGCCTGCTCGATGCCGAGGTTGTCGGCGACAATCTGCGCCAGATCTATGTGCACCGAGCCGGGGATGCTGCTGGTGCCTCGGGGGGCGCACATGTGCCCAGGGACGAGGTCATTGAGCTGTGGTGGGATTGGAAATGAATGGAGCGTTTTCTTTTTCTTTTTTTTTTTCTTTTTTTTGGTCAACAGCGAATTCTGATGCGTAATTCTGGGCGGATATCGTTACATGGCGTTGCAGCGTTGGGCGGCCACTTTGTTTGTTCTTATAAAGCCGTGACACTTACACGTGCAGGTACATATATATAGGTGCATGTTATTCCATCTTGACGCTTGGACAGCCGTGTTATACGCCTCTGTGTATGCAACTGTGCTGCCGTCCGCCCATTCACCGGCATCCGTGTCTAGTATCAAACTGCTGCGCCTGGTGGCCAGGTCGGCATCGGACCAAAGGCCAGGCGAGTTTACCGACCATGGATGAATGCAGAGTCTCGGCACCGCGTTTCTGTCTCAGTCCCATCGTAGTTGGGAACACCACCGCATTCGGGCTAGCCGTGTCTCGCCATGCCTGGGCTTCTTCGGTACGACGTCGTCGGAACCGAGAATCCTAGCTTGGAGCCTCGGTCGCAAGTGCCGGGCTGCAATGGCGACACGGCATGATAGAAATGCACGATTCCGTAACCCACGTACCACCCTCCATGCCGGGGTATTCTTGTAGTACCCCAAGTTCAAGTCATGTTTCACCAAAATGCCAGGCACTTTCTAGCGTCACTATAAGTGGACTGGAGGTCCTTGGCACCTACACCTGTGGACATGCAGGCGACTTGCACATTGTGTTTGAGGCATCGCCACACATAGGTGCAAGCTGCACACCTGTTTAATAAGAAGAACTTTTGGAGCTCAAACATTTGCCAGCCTGCTTCATCGCGATATGGCTTTATCGCCCCAATGTACCCCGAGAGAGCTGCAGAGAGCCGCGCAACCAGCTTTGTTACCACAATTGGTTGCAGACAAGGATTCCTCTGACGTCTAGGCACCAGCAAATTAGGGATAATACGGACCATGTTGAACTTGGTTTGGAGATAAAATAGGTGATTATTAACGAATAGTTACTTCATTCAGTTCCTTTGCACATATTCCAGCTCCGAGAGTTTGTGATTCTTAATAGAGAACGTACTGTTACCACATCAAGGACTCCAGCGTCGTGGAGAAACAAGAAGACTTCAATGTTCTTTCCCTTCACATCGCAGCCATCACCAACCTGTCAGGATGGGTTCACAACAGCGAGTGACTGCTAACGTATAGTTAGCTTCGCTATTAGAAAAGTAACAAAGGCTACATGTGAGGGATCGATCACAGAAGTGGGGGGTGTATAACGGTTCACAAGGGTTCGAGATACAAAACACGAGTTGTATTGCGAAGAAAGCTAGCTGAAAAAAAAAATATGATGCAGAGGAACAAATTCAAGCTTCAGGCGGTGCCTGGTATCAATGTGTGTGTAGCGCCATGCACCTGACCTGATGGTGTCTAGAAGAGCATCTTCTCCACGGCTTTTCTGCCCCACGGATCCAGATTCGCCATCGCCGCCCCAGGTTAATGTCGATGATGAGATTGTTCTGACGTTGGAGGACGAGGAAATTCAAGACATCACTAGGGTCCATGAGATATCTCTCATCATTCTCCAGAGCGTTGTCTTTCGGGTTTTTGTCTGAGGTTAGTGGCATGATCAATGCCGAGTAGATTGGGCGGGAAAATAAACCGGTAGAAAGTGCTGAAAGATGCTTCAATATTAGATATCAGTCTAATGATAGACACTCTGAGAAGCTCGCAAAGGAAACTTCACTGGCATATCTTGAGCTATATATGTAATTATATGACACTTGTGTTCGTTCGAGTACACTGCTAATAGTAGTATTAGGATCTAAGAGTATCTTGTTAAAACAC